AGTGGTTCCATCACGCCTTTAGCACCCAAGCGAGCTCATAGTGAAGATCTGGGGCAACGAATGTGGGGCTCTAGCTGGTTAACGTCCCCAGTGTAGATGTGCTTGGCCAGCGTGAACCGTCTGAGCATGGCAACAAAAGCTGGTACTGGTATCTGGGAAGCTTCGTCGCCAATGATGACCTTGCTGGTTGACAGAACATCAGGAAACAGTCCTCCAGGTCTCGCCGTGGTCAGCAACGAGGCTGCAGTGATGCACACGATAGAGGGAAAGCTAACCCGTACGATCCGTACGGCCTCCTCAGTTGCCTCGGAGTTGTTGCCTGGTTCGGCTATGCGAAACTCCTCGCGCTCTCCATCCGTCAGACGAGTTAGAGTTGTTTGTTTGGCAAGTTGGCCAGAAGGCCTTTAAAGATTTGGTGGAGGTCGACGGGTGTCGTGGGGGCGCCCTCAGTGCGGTGTCAGAGAGGAATCGCAGGATGCGTAGCGCGGAATAGTCTTCCAGCTCAAGCAACGTCCCGGTGAACTATGCCATCGCAACATTAGTTGTAGCTGTAACCAAGACGAGATTACCAGCGGAAGCGGGACAAGCAGCAATCACCGCAGCAACCAGCGAATCCCCGGTGCCACAAGCGGCTTGGATGGCCAGGATGGGGTGGTTCTCGGTACCGAGTTGAACAGCTGGGGTTTGGTCGTTGCGGAGCCGCAGCGTGGAGTCGCCAACTCGAATCGTCGTGGGTTGAAGTCGAGACGGGTGCACCATGTGCGCACGACTAGAGCGCGGCTGGCTTGAGTGAACAGCGTCCAAAATGGTGCAAGCTAGTAATGGAGCATTGAACGATTCCAGCGATGTAAGGGGTGACTCCGAGGCCAGGATATCCTCTCTGCTCCTGTCGATTCATGGCAGAGCCGTACACAAATGGGAACGCGTGCTGAGTTGTCCCTTTCGTCTACCACTCCGAGGCGACGTTTAGCGTTGACTAGGGATCGGTGGTGATGAGTGAAAGAGTTGAGTTTGATCTCCACTGTACTTTGCGAAGAGAGGGACTACGAAGAAGCCACCGTGGTTCGTGCCAAAGTGGTGGATCCAATCACCCAATTTCTTACTCGTCTTGATCGGGACAACCCACCTTCCGACTGGCCTCGAAGCTAAGCTGGAGGCGGACTGGAATCGCACTCAAGCAGGGGACGAATGCCGTTGTCTCATGAGTGGTCTTGTCGTCTGTCCCGAAGCTTTGTGCCGAAAGGGCCGCACTGGTTACGGCGAACAGTTTTTCCATCCTCCGTTTGACCTTGTCCTGGTTGCGAGTGTAGTTCAGAAAGCCTTGTTCGCGGTCTCTGAACCAACGGAGGTCTGCATCGGTCAAGAGGAAGACGCGTAGCTGCAGCATTCCTCCATCGGGGTGGGCTGGCAGGAAACGACGCGCCGCATTCACGAGAAACTGTTGAGCAGGATGGGAAACTGCCCAGTGCGAAAAACGCATCGCGCAGGAAATGTTAGTCCGCGCGTCACTCGAAGAAGGGTGTCACGATCGTCCTCCGACAAACAGAAGTTGCCTCGAAACCCGGACTGCATCGTGGCAACCTTGGAACGTCACGAGAATGATTTTGAATGATTTTGACATGGTTGAAGTTGTAGCGTCCGCGTTGGGCTTCGATAACGAGTCCAAGAATTTGGTGTTCCAGTGGTGAGGATGAACTCATGAACTCGGAAAGAATACGGTGCCGGTGACTCGACAACAGACGGTCATGGTAGCTGTGATTGCAGTAGAACCTCTTGAGGGGCGACGGACTTTTGGTGCGTCCAGGGTTGCACGCGGCGAATCGCGCGGCGGGCTGCGCGGCGATCCGGACTAGGCAAGTCTTCGCGCGCTCCTGCAGTGAAATTCAACACGTCAGAACGTGTGCACATCGCGGATAGAATCCACAAGGTTCTGCTTTGGAAACAAACTTCCCACTCGCGGAGATCTGTGAGATGGAGCTGTGTCAGTGAGAAGATTATAGCGAAAGGGGATGAAAGCGAGAAACTTCATAGAAATGTCACTATTATCATATTATGAATATGAATAAGTAGACTAAAAATGGAGTCATCTAGTGAGATGTTCTTTATTGTCAACTCCATATCTTTGCTAATTGCGGCGCTCCTGTCCATGGAGAGAACTTTCAAGACAGGGCCAGTGGATGGTGAAACTAGAACTAAACCTATGAGAAGGGAAATACGTTCGGGAGAACAGAAATTGCTCACATCCTCCACAAGAGACTCATCTCCTCCGGCTGAGTCCCGAAACGATAATTGTTGAAGCTCTTCGCTCATGGAATATCTCCCCCCTCAACAACAAGCGCCAGCAACCTGAGCGCCCTGATTGCTATAATAGCTTTTTGTTATTCCTTTTCTTCTCTTCCTGCCGCTGCCTTTGAATAATTGCGTTGGAATGCAATTCGAATCGCAAAATCTTGTGGATTCTATCCGCGATGTGCACTCGTTCTGACGCGTTGGATTTCACCGCAGAAACTTGCTAATTAAGAAAAAAAACCTTTATAAACGGAATAATTAAAATGACTCGTTTTGCTCCTTCTCCTTCCTCAGACGAATCTTATTATTTCGTCAATCCCCGGAGCGACTTGCCTCGTCCAGATCGCCGCGCAGCCCGCCGCGCGAATCGCCGCGTGCTACCCCGGACGCACCAAAAGTCCCGCGCCCCTCTTGAGGATCGCCACTGGCCAACGTCTTGAGAGTTGGTCATAGAGACAGCACCCAGACTAAGTCCTTTACCATAGCTGATCATGCACAAAACAGCGAGTGCCTGTTACGACGTTGAAGGAATCTTGAGTGAGTGGCAGGCAATGAAGCTCCGGCCGGGGAATGAAGAAATTTTTCTCCTCGTCGATAGCACCTTGACCAAAACTGCGGTGAACGACTTGGTAGAGTACAGGTCGAATGCCGTTTTGAGTAGGTGGACAAAGAGGCGTCGGATCATCACCGGCGGAAGTGAGATGTAATTGATGAGCCGCCTCTTGGTCGCTCCCATAGGTGCTGTCAAGGAGAACCGTCGTGAGTTGTACAGCCTTTTGTTCAAAGGCAGTGATGTCCTCCAAGCGGGATATCTCCAGAATCGGTAAGGGATTCGACGGTATTGGTTTTTCGCGGAAACGTCTTGGAAACAACGATCGTACGAAGCGAGAAGCGAAGTATCCGTCTTGGGGGATCGACCGGTGGACGTGCAGGGGGAGAATACTTGTGACAGACTCATCGGTGATGGCTGGTACAGGTGGTCTCGGCGACACGACTTCACGGATGTCGATGTGCAAACTCGATGGTGTGGCCGCGAGGTGTATTGTCTCATTCGGGGCAATGTGCCGGATGGACTTTCATTCCTTTGGGTATAGTCGGCACGTTGACGTCGGCTCGTGCTCTCTTCGAAGACGATGACGAAAATAATGCGGACGTCGTGTCGCGGAAACGAGAAGAGGCTACCTCGTGAGAACGGAGACGAGACGATTCCGGACGGGATGGGTGTTGTCCGACCCGCTCCGGAGAAGGATGTACCGTCTGAGGAAGAAGCGATAGTCGTCCAAACTCAGCGGCTAGATCTGCTGTTACACTAGAAGAGTCGTCTAAAGAGGCGAGAACCGGAAGGAGGAACGTTAGTAGGAGAAAGGTAAATTGGTTGGACAGAAGCTCGTGCAGGAGAAGTTGATGGGAGAGATACCGATGATGGCGCGCTGGTGGATCATGGTGTGGTACCTAAATGGAGGCTTCTACCAATAGGGCTTTGGTTAATCGCGTACATGAAAGGGCTTACCCTCAGTTAAAGGCAAAAGTAGGGCTCAATAACGGGGTATTATGGCGATTGAAACTGTGTACAGAGATGCGAAGTGGAACGACAGTGGAAAAAAAACTGAGAAAAAACGTCGACAAGGCCGTTAAAAGCCCTCTCTCCCACTATCAGCGGAGGAGGATTGCTGGGCGAAAGAGGCACGTACAAACAAGTTTTCTGGAGATGTCAGTCGTTCTATCGGTTGATACGGCAATCAACCTAGCTGTTTAACACGTTATGCCAGCCACGCACCACTTCCGGAGGTGGCCGGTCCTGGATTGACCGGCGGCCCTGGATTGAAACCGAACGCCCCGGAGCTTTAACGGGATTATTCAGTGGGAAGTTGCTGCAATGTGTGCAGCTACCCACATACAACTTCCATGCACGGGAATTACTTCTCTAGCGTGTCTGAGCCCAACCTTTGCCTTTCAGATAGCTGAAGTGTTAGTCGGTTGGGCAGAAGTCCGAAGATCGCTTGGTGGGACGGTCCCCTGAGGTGGCGTTGTTGAGGTGGAGGCAGAAGACTTGTCCACGGGCACGCTTGAATGTACAGGTTGAGCGTCCATCGGGGCACTTAACTGAAAATTGCCAAAATGAGGAAGGGGTTGTTGGCCTGTGGTGACAGGGCGCTTGAGTAGATGGCATCGGCGCTGGATATAACCCTACCAACACAAACCCAGGTTGGGGAGGAGGTGCCTGGTCACCCATCTTTAGAGGGGGGCGTTGCGCCGTAGAGTTCGGTGGCAGAATGAGTGGTAACCATGAAGATGGTACGCGGGCATGGTGGGCCTGTATTACCAAGATGTATCCTAACCGTGATCTTAAGGATCATAAGAGATAAAATAGCAGATGACAAAAGTGCACTTCATAAGAGAGTAAACGCTCACGTGGGCGACCGTTGCAGCGTACATTATTAGAAGGAATACGACGTGAATATATCTGACAGAAATATCGTCGCTAGGCGTTGGCCAATCGGGGGAGACGAACTGCGGCTGGTCCGCGTCAATGCATGGCTACGACTGACTGACTTTGGCGGGAAATAATGCAGACATAGAGAGTGCCAAGTTGGCATTTTCGCGGCGGAACCATGTGTCCCAAAGCGCATCGCATCCTTCCAGCCGCGGGGGTGCGCAGGCCAAGATAACGGTCGGACGAATGTCACGACAGGCCTATAGACTACGCAGATATGGCGAACAAGGCGAGGCCTGACCGAAAACAAGACCAATTGACATTCGTGTGAGTTATGCTACGAAAGGAAAGAGAAAAAAAACGAATTGAGGAGTTCCAAATGAGAAGTGGAGGAGAGGCAAAAAAAGAAAAAAGGAAGTCAGAAAGGGGGCACGGGTACTTCGCGGTGAGCCACATCCTCAGCGCGCCTGAAGGCGAGCCCTGAAACGTGTGTTATAAGGATGTGTAGGCTTGCTAACTAAAGAGCATTTCGCTTCGTCTATTTTTAACGCCGTATGATTATAACCAACTATTACTACCGTGGCGGCGTTCAACTCAATAAGCTCTTCCTGGTCTTTTTGGGGAAGCCACGGGGAAGTGAATACTGTCGTGATAATTTGAAACATTTTTTGACCAGATTAAAATCTAACCGTCTAGGCTTCGACTGCGGGGCGGCTATCCTGACAATGGTAAGGTGATGTGGTTGTACTCGACGTTTTGTATTGGCCGAGTCATGAATTGCAGAGTTTGGGTGGTAAACCTGGCTTGGGAGTGAGGTCGCAAAGATACACCCGATCCTCTACTCTGATAGTCGCGATGAGCGATCGATTCTGATTATACATTTGCTTCATGGCGGCACTGCGCTTCCCATTGTGCTTGGCGGCGGCGGTCCAAGCTGAATGCAGAGCTGATACCAAGGATTCCTTGTAGATACTGCTGTCCTCAACCGAAGGTAGGTGGCTTTCGATTTGTGCCGGATGAGCAGATCGATGTTGAAGATGGGGTCTCGCCCGGACATTAAGAAAAAGGAAGTTTCGTTGGTGCTGCTGTAGACCGACGTGTTATAGGAAAATTTGCAAGCTGGTAGGAAGACATCCCAGTTGTCCCGGCTATCGTCAATGTATGTGCGTATCATCTCTTGGAGAGTTTCGAACATTCGTTCGCAGGCGACATTCCCTTTGTGATGGTAAGGTGTGGTAATGCAGCGCCCAATGTTCATGAGGCGACCCACCTCCGCCAAGAGGTCGCCTTTGAGGTATGAGGCGTTATTGGAAACCAGTTCGGTCACTGCTCCGAAAACTAGAACCGCCTGGGTCATGATTGCGTGTGCCACTGTCACAGCCGTGCAATCTGGAAGGGCAGCTGTGATGACAACCTTACTGTAATGTTCAATGATGCATGCAATATACTAGGTTGGTGCAAAACTCTTGAGACACTCGGATGCGTGTTTCAAAATCTCAGTTTTATTCAAACTCTAACTCAATAAACTATACATATAATCACCATCATTATCTATGACATTTGTCCAACGTAAAGGCAAGTCGGCTATTCCCTTCCCCCAGAAAGAGTGGGACTGTGAGTCAAAGAAGTCAGTCACAGCATTTTTGAGGCCATCAAAAGTGGCGAATTCCTTCTTGACCAGGAATTGCTTGAGATGCCTAAAAAGATGATAGTCAGAAGGGGCGAGGTGGGGGAATAGGGTGGGGAACGGTATTTCAGCTGAGCTCCTGTAGCCTGGACTGCGTGATCTTTGCGACGTGAGGCCGAGCGTTATCATGCAGAAGATGTAAAGAAACCCTTCTCGGTCGCTTTTCTTCAATTGCATAAGCGAGTTCCTCAAGCTGGCGACTGTAAATGCTAGCCGTGACTGCCTGGCCTTGAGGGAGCAACTCTTGGTACAGCATTCCCTTTGAGTCCCAGAAACAGCACAACAAAACCTTCTTTGAATGCTGTGCCGGCTTGGGCTGCACGGGTGGATCTTCTCCTTTTGAGAGCCAGACTGCGACCCACTTGTTGTTGTCGTAGAAGATCCAGCTCTCATCCCGGTCACCAGATCCTGCAAAAACTCCTTCCGATTTGGGGTAAGGAGGAGCGACTGCGCTATTGAGATACGCGTGTGACGCAGATCGTCGGTCATTTGGTGCGGAATCCATCGAGCAAGAACTTTCCTGTAACCGTGCTCGTGAAGGTAATGAACGACGTTGTTGTGATCGCATTCGAGAAGCTCCGCCAATTCCCTGCTTGTAGCCTCCAGCTTCTCCTGCACCTCGCTGAAGTCGGTCGTCTCTGATAGCAACTGGTCGTCCGGAGCGGGGGTTGTCGTCGAGCATCGTATCTCCAGACTGAAAACGAGCGAATAAACCATTAACCGTCGCATGGCTGGCGAGGTTCTCTCCGAATGCAGTGCTGATATTGGAGGCAGTGGAACGAGCACTGGAACCGCGGCGCCACTCGTAGAAGACGATTGCTCGAAGTTAACTTCTTGACAATTGCGACATGGTTTACACCAGGAGGGCTCGGGGACCCATTCAAACACTGCTAGCGGTAACTATGAGACTGCTCGAGAATATGGTGAAATCATGACGGTCTTGTAAAGACATGACGATCCATGTAAATTTGTGTCCCAAGACTTTTGCACCAACCTAATACTTATTGTTCCGCGGAGTGATATGATCCGCTGAGGTCGACAAACACCTTGTCGAAAATGGCTCCTGTGTGACCTTGTCAAAAATGGCTATTGTGTGGATAGGGATCAGTCGTTTTCGGGTCTGTGGGTGGGGGCTCTTGCGTTGACACGCGTCGCAGACGTGACATCCTGAAGGAGTCCTCGCGCTCAAAAGCGTAAAAGAGCGACAGGAAATATTGGATACAATCTTTTCCAAATGAAATGTCGTTCGGCTGTGGCGCTTTTGTGCAGTGCGATGCAGATGGGTCTGCGCAATTTTTGCGGAACGACGATGGCGGGCCTGCGGGAGGAGTTGGGGCTGACGTAGTATAGGCATCTGTTCTTCTTGAGAGTGCATTGGTCTAGATGAATGGAAAAGATTTTAAGTAGATCCGCTGACGTGTCGGACGGGAAGAAACCAGTGTCCAAGAAGTGCATCAGCGCGCTGCAAAAAGGATCTTGTTTTTGAGCTAGAAGAGCATCACGGGCGCATGTAGATAGGTTGTAATAACTGGATCGTTCGGAGAAGGCATGACATGATGGAGAAAACACCGGGGAATCCCCGATGTTGTCTGTCTCCGGGAAGTCGTCGAGGAACCTGTTGTCAGGATCAACGTTGCAACTAAAGTGATCCGCAACGACATTAGACGAGCCCTTATGGTATTCTGTACTAATGCCAAACCTTGCAACTCTACGACCCACCGTGTGAGATTGTCGTGAGGTTTGCGATGTCTCATGAGGAATGCCAAAGGCTGATGGTCGCACAGAACTCTTGTATGGTTGCCGTGAATGGTAGCTCGGATAAACCGCAAAGCGCTAATCATACAAAGAACTTCCATGTGTTTTGTGCTCCACTTTTGCTGAGCAGGAGACAACACCTTGCTGAAATACCCAATAGCAGTTGGGGGCAACGGCGCATCTTGGATTTGGAGAAGAGCAGCTCCCAGTGCTGTCTTGCTGCCATCCGTATGGAGCAGGAAATCCTTGTCCTGAGGAAAGGGGCTCACTAATACCTTCTAGAGTTGAGGGAACGCCTGAGCTTAAGGTTCCCCCCATACAAATGGGGCTTTATCTTTACACAAAGCATACAATCGAGCGGCAATTGTTGCAAAGTTCTTAGTGAATTTGCGAAAAAATTGGCCATGCTTAAAAATCCTTCCACCGCCTTAACAGATTTTGGGGCTGGCATGTCGCGAATGGCCTGTAGGTTACATTTGGCAGGAGAATAGACCACTCGCTGCTACCAGTATAGTTTGGGTGATTTCTACAACTTCTAATCTCCATAGAACACTAAATAGTCAACAGCGTTTATTGTCCAGAGCGGAATACGTCTAAGTGTAGCGTAGAGCAGCGTCGAGCCGAGAAGCCGTTGCTCCGAGGGGGAGGGTGTGGGGGAATGGAGCGGCCGTTCAGCTAATCGTTGACCCTCTTCAATACCGTCCGCATCGGCCTCCACCCAATGTCAACCGTAACGTTTGAACATTTTCGGGATTTTTGCGACCCCCCCCCCTCTCGAGGAGGTCCAGTTGCGACCCCCCATTTTGGTAAGGAGAGTGCTAAGTGTGTTTTTGGTACTAAGTGTGCTGTGAGATATTTATCTCACTTATAGACAATGAACTTCATTCATGTGAAGATTGGATTTTTTTTTCAAAAATTCAAAGTTCCTTCATTCACAATCTCACGCTTCAATTTTCTTCTCCTCGCCTTCTTTTTTTAGTCGAGGATTGCTTCATTGTGGCAGTTCTCCAACTGTGGCTGCTCCAAGGAATATTGCTGTGGCTGCTCCAGGGTATACGGTGCCGTCGTGATATTCTGTCTCCTCACACATTGATAGCGTCGCCTGACGCGGATCTTAAGAAATTTTTATCAAATATATTAACTTATAGTTGTATTCAAGAGTAATAGAATTTGTAAAAAAAATTTTCATTGAGAAATCACCACAACACTACGTACAATCACTACACCACAAAACGCAAACAATCAGAAGTAAAAAGAGTTGTCCTAAAAAGGCGGCCATAACGAGATCCCAAAAATTTGGTTCTTCCGAAGCGGCGTAGCTCATCGTATTGGCGATTCTTCTGTATGGTTCTTCTTCTCAAATATGAAAAAGAAACTCTTTCATTCAACAGCAAAGGACATAAATCGGTGTGCACCATTCAAGTAAACATCCACTGTCCTTGCGTGGACCGCAGCGCACGAAAAGCTGCGGTCCACGCAAAGAGAGTGGAGAGCAAACCTACGTGTGGAAAAAAAACTGATTCTCGGGAGCAGGGGACATGATTTGGTTGCTACAGAGCGGAAGGGGCGGGGGAAGATTCCGCAGTGAGCGCGCGGCCGCGGCGTGGTTTTGCCATTGGTATGCAATTGCATATAGCCGTAACGTGTGTGATTGCCTGCGGCCTGCACTGCACGCAATAGAGGCGACGCGCCATTTTTGAAAATTACCGGCACGTGATTGCCCGGGATGCTTGTTGATTTGCTTCTTTGCTTCCGACGATCGGGGGCCGTAAGTTATGCTTCTCCGAAGGGTTAGAGACGAAAGTTCCTTTTAATTTTCTCTGTAGTCTCAACTGGGATTGTCCTGATAAAGGGCCTACATCTAATATATGTGTGTAGCTTAAAGTAAGCATGCATTGAAAATAAAGAAACAGTATCGTTCAAAACAAAAAATTCAAAGGGACTTTCGTCCCCGCAACCATTCGGGTAAGCATACCTTACGGCCCCGGAGGTATTCGCCGAAATGGCTTCTTGGAAAAATTTCCCGCGCGCGCTTGTTCAAACGAATGTCTGCGGCGAACTTCCACTCAGCTACACCGATTGAAAATGCTAGCGTTACTTGGGAGCTTTTTTCAGATTTCGGGTTGGCTGACCGTACTCATACTACCGCAGGTAGGAGAAGAAGGAATGGTGGCGAGAGTATGTGGTCGTTCGCACTAGTTCAATGGAAGGAAATGGTCCGGACAGCACCGCAATGACTTCGAAGTGTGGGAATTAGAGAGCATCGTGATTCTGCCCTTTTTGAACTTTCTGATAGTGTCTACTGGTACAAATCAGGCGCAAGTTACAATGAAATGCACCAAATGCAGAATCCGATAAGTTTCATGGGTTTTCAGTTATCCGCTCAGGTGACTGATGACTGCGCAAAGCCCTTTCGAAACATTGACCTCATATGACAGCGTTTCGAACGGTATACCTAAATCTATAGGTTGTCTCATTATTACTGAATCACTTTGGGATTTCTGAATTCAATTTTTTTTCCATTTTCATTCGACGTCCTTGCTCATCCCAACATACACCTCTGTCATCTACAATGCATTGCCTATACATGGAAATTTAGTGTGATGGTGCTACACGGCGGAGGTGAATGAACTGCTAGCCTGAGAGTCTCCAGTTTTTCGTGAATATTTTCCGCAAGGAAGGAACGAACGACCTAAAAAGAAAAGCGAACTTAGTCTTGCTTCACTTTGAAATTGAATGCATCGCCATGCTGTCGACGTTGACCTTCACTCTTCACTGACCCTAGTATTATTGGGCAGCGGTTCCCTGCGCAAGGTTCCTCCCGCGTTTCACCATTATCTCGAAAAATTCGGACTTGAAAGAACTTGTTAGTACACTCCACCCAGTCCACAACTCACGTGAATATGCTGGATGATCACTGAAAGGAACTCGGGAAACCAGAGGAAACATGGCAATTTCATATCGTGTTTGGAGCTGATACGAGCTGAAAGCAAGTGAGATACAAATCTAATGTTCCTAATTCTTTACGACTCCTCGAAAATGCATGAGTTCCATCATCTCAACAAGCCGGACGCACTGTGGCAACTAGCGACTAGCTTGTCGAGATCCATTCTCAGTGGCACTAGGCAGGCCAGTAAGATTTTTAGTCGAAGGGTACTTGGTGTAAGGGTGATCTCCAAATAAAAAAGCTAACCCCGGAATAGAGTGAACCATAGGTGTACAATAGTTTGAGGTAGCGTACCCTCGCCTAGTTGCTGGCTGATACGCTATGTCGTTTGGCGTTTATAAGATCCTATTCTAAAGTGGTGAAGAATGAAGCTCAAAACTGAATAGGTTCCAGAAGAATTGATGTAATAGCCACGTAAGGCAACGAGAAAACTAATATTCAGGTAGGATAATGTGGATGCTACTTCGCAAAATATGTCTCGCGCCTTTACCATTTTTCTTGGATTTTTAATAGCAATAAATGTTAAGCGATTCACTGATTATGGGACAACCTAAAGATAGTGGTGAATGCTCAGTTACCCTTGGAGGCAACACACATCATCAGTTTGCGAAAATATAAGAGATTCGAGTGTAAAAGAATGGAAAAGCCCCAAGACTAAGCTGTTGCAGAGAGGAGGGATTCGTGGGTGAGCCAATCACAGTGTGGAGAAAGATTCAATGTATATAATCACAGCAGTCATGAAGCACTGTGTAGAAGAGGGACCATACGCGGAAACATCAAATTGAGGCTCTTAAAGGACGTGAGTTCAACTAATCCGCAAGTTGCTAGTAGTGTGTGAATGTTTGTCTTACTGCTAGTGAAAATTCTAGTGCTTAGTATTCGACTTACGAGGGGAGGTCGTTCAGGGCGTGGAGCGCTTTTTGAAAACGGTTTTTTGCATGAAGTAGGGACAGGTGCAGTGAACACAGATCCATGGTCCATTTCCGCTAAATGGCCTTCTGAATGCCAAAAAGGAGTGAAAATTATTTTGTTGGAAACTGCAGTTTTTACTTGTTAAACGTGGTGTGTTTCATCCATGGCGTCAACTATAGGCATAGTAAAAGGTCGAAGTGAACTGTGCATCGAAAATAATGTGAGGTTTAGCCAAAAATGGGTCCTTGTCATGTTACATGTTGAGGAGTGTGCTTAAGATTCATAACAGCTATCTGCAGCTTGAATGTCTGCAGCGATGGATGGCTTAGCGGCCATCCATCGCCACTACGACCTTTTACTATGCCTATAGTTGACGCCATGGATGAAACACACCACGTTTAACAAGTAAAAACTGCAGTTTCCAACAAAATAATTTTCACTCTTTTTTTGGCATTCAGAAGGCCATTTAGCGGAAATGGACCATGGATCTGTGTTCACTGCACCTGCCCCTACTTCATGCAAAAAACCGTTTTCAAAAAGCGCTCCACGCTCTGAACGACCTCCCCTCGTTAGTGAAAATATTGAAGGCCCGAATAATAATGTCAAAAAGGCTGTGTAAATCTAAGCAGTGAGAGGTTTTCAAAAGAACAGATCCAAGATCGGAGGATGAGTAAATTTTGGCAGTGAAGGGTTTCCAGGACGTATGCGTCCAAGATTGGAAAAGAGAATATCGGAAAGAATCGGTTTACGAGAGCGCAGCACACGAACACCTGCTTGAAGTGCAATAGCGCGCCCCAGCATCGAACACGCGACGCGGCCGCGCGCTTGTGGTGGAACCTTCCCCGCTCCTTTCGCTCTGTACCGGCCCTCTTCGGTTGCGCCAGAAAGCGTCTGCGCCGCCGCCGCAGAAAGCGCCTGCGTTGCGGTGTCAGCCTTGGAGCACGGCAGGTATCACTCGGACGGTGGAAGAACGGGACGCGGCGAAGAAAAAATTTTAGAGGGGAATGACTTTCTTGAGACGTACTTTTTTGACTTGTTGAGGTAGATTTTGACTGTGCCTGGGGTGCGCTTCCAGAAAACTACAAGGATTGCCTAACTCTCCGGAAAGCACTTCTGTTAGAAGTGGAGAACCCAAAATTCTAAGAAGGCGCACCTTTAAATTTGAAGGCCCATATATCTTTCGTATGCGACGTTTTGGAAATCTGTAAGAAGTTTCAGAGACTTCAAATCTTTCTCTAACAAAACAATATAAAAAGTTCAGTGATTGTCCCCAAATTTTCCCGTTCGAACATTTTTTCGTGCAAAAGCGAGTTTTTGGGCTTTCAGCGACCATAACTCACTCATTTTCATTTCTGTGATGCACTTTTTTCATGGGGTGAGAGTGCTGGATTTGCTCTTTCAGACAAGCACCAAACCCTTTTCCAAAAACCATTTTACGAGAAAATCACACGTTCGAACCTTCTGTTCCCATGGGTTTTTGAGCAGCACAGCGTGTTTTTGAGCTTTCAGCACAATTAACTTCCTTCAAAGAACTCGTTGGAGAGGGACGAAGACAGTTTTGAAGACTACGAGATTTCTGCTTTCTTATGTGTTTTAACGTTGTCTGGAAGAATCGTCTTCAGAACATTAGGTCTTGATTAGGTCTTGAAGAACTTTAATTTCAGCCCCGAGAAGTCAAACCTTTCATAGGGATGCTCAACTGTTCTTTATTCCTCAAATAAAACACAGCAATCTGCCTGAAACTGTCTCTCTTTGCATAATTAATCGAATCTAATGCGGTCCGCACAAACAATTCTTGCCCTCGGATACGCCACGCACGCGCCTGTATCTGGCATTTGGAAGCCTATTTCATCTTGCCATAAACCGCAGCTCACAGCTCAATATTACGACCCCCTTCCGACCAAAATGCGACCCCTTCGTTCTGAACCCGGTCCGTGTGGGAAGGACGGTTGATCGCTTAGCTGACGGAATTGAAGAGTTGTTCCAGGGGGCATCTTCTATGGAGCCGGTTTGGGGATTCATGCAATTGAAGCGCAGCAACGTCGGACATAGTGCTGAGCAAGTACCCGCTCCGGAAGTAAAGCAAAGGATTGCTGTGCCCAGGCTGGAAGCGCGATCACGTGGGGTTGCGCTGCTCAGAGGACGGGCGAGATAGCGGCGTTAGGGCCTGTGTTTTTGTAGCATGAGGGTGCCAAAAAACTGTACGGTAAATAAAGTCAAACGGTAATTGAGAAGGAAAGCAGAGTGTGGTCTGGAAGGACGAGTCGCCTCAAGTGAAGATTCACAACATGTTGTGGTGATGAGAATAGGATAAAGCAGGAAGACTGAGTATTCGCCGCCTGTTGAAGTGACCGGGCTTTTCTGCGTTGAGACATAAGGGAAGATGTCTCCTAGGCTAGTCACAGGGCGGGGGGTCGGCATACCGCGGTGTCGGTGTGGTAAGGTATAGTCCGGAGGCTTTCAGGAGCGACTGCGTGGAAGACGTCGAATGCTCCTACTATGCTTGCTAGCAATGCTTTGGCCCGTCGTCAGCAGGGGCTCACTACAAAATCAGTGGTAGACTAAAGCATTAGGAGAGCTATGTTTGCCGGGCTGTCCAAGTATGATGATTGTTCCTAAGACAGAATCGGGTGCGTCGATTTTTGGGCAATTTCTGCATTGTGAGATTGGGCGGCGGCGCAATATTGCTCTGATGCCCGGAGCTGTGTTTCCGCACTGAAGTCCGGTTGACGAGGGGTATGAAGCATCAGGGCCTGAGGTGGCAAGGAGTTCGAAGGTGATTTTGGTAACAGTCGGGGGGGCAGGGTTGTCTATCGTTGGAGCAGGGGACAGAGGTCGGATGTGGTCCTGTGCGAATCGGAGTGTTCGTGCCTGCGTTTGTGTGATTTTTGCAAAAGGCAGTCATGGGGAGGTGGGCCGAAGATGGGTATTGGTCACTAGCGAGTGTGGCTAGGGGGTGTGGGGGGCCCGTGTTTTGACTGCCAGGGTAGGGGGAGATGCAGACAGACCAAGCGCATCTTCGACCACTGAGAGGAGAGGCGCGTCGATAAATAAAGCTCATGGACGAATTCCGGGACAGTGACTTGTAGGCATCCTTGCTTTCTATTTGCCAATTTGTCGGGCGAATTCGGTTGTATGTTAAGCGTTGTGCAAGGATTGTAGATGCCTTTGTTAACAACGTTGGGAAACAGAGATCGTTGCAAGGAAGTGCGCCTAAGATAGCGAGTTTGGCGAGGCAAAGACGCGGAGTGAATAGTCTTACGGCGTTGCCAATGCTTGTTCGCACGGTATCGTCGAGATATTACCCGTGTGGGAAGTCGCAAAAGAAATGCCGTCGGGAGGTCCAGGGCCTATTGGCACTGGTGAACTTAGCCTAATTGAAGTTCGGTATGGTGGGCGCCGGGTCAGGGGTTTCAAGAGCTTCCTGAGACGCCGTGAGTGCAGTGCTACATCAGATCAAACACCGGGGTCATGCGGGAGCGTAAGTAGGTGGATTGTTTCTCAGGTGAGCTTAGCAAACAGCGTGGTCCGTCGGCCCCAGAGTGGAGAGAGTGTTAATGTGCCAATCAAAAAAGAACGCTGAGCTACGGGGGGATACGCAGAAACATGCGAACGCAGTGAGGAGAGTACGATTGGAACGTCCTGGGGTGTTTAAAATGTGAAAATTGCGAGGGGGGCGTGGCGGCAAGCTTCTTGTTGACGCGGGTAGGATTGTTTGCGCGTCACTGGGTCATGAGACCTTGCAGCTCAATGAGGTTTTTGATTGTTCTCGGGGGGGAGCTCTGTAGTCGCGCCTATGGACGGGTGCGAGGAAGGCGGTACGACTTGGTGCCGGGGGGCTGCTGGAAGGGCGGGCGACAAGAAAAGGGTCGCAATCTGGTCAGGTTAACCGGCCGAAAGGCCGCGCTGTCTTTGCTTGCTGGATGTGGAGAGGTTTCCCTAGGCGTATCTGTCAACTCAGCGGAACGCGCGCACCGGAATCCAAATTGAAAATCCAAGTAGGCTCAAGCAATAGAAAGAGGCAGAAGTTCAATGAGAGAGTATTCGCAATATGTTTACTTCGCATAATATTTGTTACGATTTGTACTCATTTCGCGCGCAGTTCGATTTGGTGCTATTGTTGTCTTGTTTGTTTATGGCTTGATGATTTACCGAGTGTTATAGAACTTCACAGCTTTTGCATTGCATTTACTGGGCCCCATAACAGTGAAACGTTGGTGTAAGAGGTGTGAGCGTGACCGGGCGAGGAGAAGTTGAACCACCAAGTACAAGCTTGAGATTGGAGTGCAGGGTGTGGGGAACCGCTAAGTCCAGTGGGCGAGTCGGGCGAAATCATCACTTCAATACACAGTATCACTTCGCGGTACCTCGCTCGAAAGAGCGGCTCTTGGAGTGACGGCCTTTCTTTTTCAAAGGAACCCAGCTATTTAGCAGATCGCAAATTGGAGCATACCTATGTGAGCGACTCGCGTATTATATTCCATTTCTGCTGAGGACTCTTTACGCTGCACCCTTTCCTTTTATCAGTCGCTTTTCTTTATTTTGAATCGGTTGTGGGCCACATTGAAAAAAAAATTCAAAACGTACATAAAGATATGCTCAAGTCATGAGACATAACGTAACTGGTAAGCCACCAGTAACGACGTTGTCATGCGTATTCGAAGAGGAAGAAGACTCGTTGGAAAACTCCGGTGCAGTTCCGAATAGTCTGCTGCGAAGGATTATCGGGGCGAAGAGCGCAAAATCGGTACCAAAACTCGCTGGCAGTGCCGAACAGTCCTGTCTTTGAGTAAACGAGAAGAGCATACTCGTAAAAACCCGGAAGCAGAGGCGCGATAGTGTGCTGCCAAGATGGGAGGAACAACCACAGGGCGCGGTGGAGTGCGACCAATTGGATTGAGTGCGGCGAGGAATAGGCCAGGATTAGTCCCGCGGGGGTGCCGTCGACGCGGGCCGACGTTCCTTTCCTAGGCGCAAGCTTTCGGATCCTCCGCTATGGTGCCTTCCAACGGCTGTGGACAGTGGCAGGGGGGCCAACCACTCCTGTGAAGTGACGCGTAAGGTGGTGGGCAAACACAGGAGTGGGTGTTTCAAGCAGTGAGAAGGGCCCACAAGTCGTGGGAGTGTGACAAGGTAGATGTTGTCGGCCTTGCCCTTCCTGCACCTCCCTTCCTCTCTCCACTGCTCTCAGCTGGCCACTGCGGCGACCAATCGGAAATGAACGGAAGTGGTGCTAGGGCAGGTGGTTCTATATGAGCCCTAGGAGAGTGTTAGTCCACACCCCTAATGCCTGCTACAGCCCCGGGAAGACGGTGTGTGATATGCTGAGATCCTGTCCCTAGAGCCCGCGCATTTTGGTTATCGAGGGTGTTGTTTTCGTTGGGGCCAAGTGAGCTTACCTTCGTCACCTCCCTTCATTTTGCGGTACGGACCACACTACATCACATATCGACACACACTTCACACACATCACAGTTAGCGAGGAGAGACACAGAAGCGGGGGGGGGGCGGTTGGGGGAGTGGGGAGAGGCCGACACGAGGGCAAGAGTGTTAGCGAGGCTTATAAAATGAGAGGTCATCTGTTGGTCTGTAAGGTCTAACTGTTAAATATTATAAAGAAGGAGGCGGAAATTGGTTCGAGTGCCTCTTTCACGTCGCCACTTTGATCACTCCCCATGGGGATCGTCGATAATGGGCAGGGAAGAAAATTTCTTCAATCCCGTCAAGAGTTTGACAGTGTGGTTTCCCTCGGCAGTTCAGAAACCGGGTTTTTTGAGGGAGGCCGCGGAGACGATTGTGCCAAAAGCAGAGGCAAATCGCGTCGAGCGAGGGATAAACCGCTTTTAAAAAGCAATGCGGGGCGAGTGGTCTGTGGAACGGGGCATAGTATCCCAGCAACAAAGAGTCGACAGCTTTGGCTGCTTGGTGGATGTATCGGACAGACCATGTCTCCATAAGCTTTCTCAGAGGAAAGTATGGCGCTTTCAAGTGCGTTTGTCAGAATGTCGAGAAATAGAAAGATAGAAAGCGGTTGGGCTCGGCGCGATTCAAAACGAGCACTCAGGCAGCAACTATTTGATTTTTCAAGAAGGAAGGGGGAGGCCGGTTGGAAATAATCGGGCGACAACGATACATAAGGGAAGCAAGCGTCCCAGGCTGTGGACCTTCGGTGTCTGGTTGTCTGTCTCCAGACGAACGTCCTGGAGATTCTGGTCGCGTCGTAACGACCGCTATCCGCATCCGCCGTGTACATGCCCCTTGAAAAGGTGAGAGTGTGAGCCGCCGTAGTTGCCACACACTTCTACCTCTCAAAAATGAGAGAGTGTGAGCTTGAGTGTGAGAGAGGAGCGCTCCTCTATTTGCTTGGGGTGCGAGAGTGTGAGAGTGAGGCTGAGAGAGCGGTCGCGTGAAGTGAGAGTGCCTCGCACACCGAGCCCCACTTCCATTTCAGAGTTGGAGTCTTATTCCGGGTGACCTTCGCCCCTGTGTGGTGAGAGCTCCCTATAGAGCGCCTCAGATTTCAGGTGAGGCGTGGAACGTATGACAATCATCCCTCTGTGGGAATCTGCCGGTGGTGTGGGTGGGGGCTACGGCTGAACTGACTGTACAGTAGCGAAGCCTAACCCAAGAGAACAGTCAATCTAAGAAACATGAGATTCGATGCCTTACTCGCTTGAAAAGACAGGGGGAAGATCCACTTCCTTGAAGCCGAACACGTGAACGCCAACTTAGAAAAAGGTTGGTTGCACTTGAGTGTAACAACATCTCTAACCAGCAAGAACTCAGAAAAACGAGCGAATGGTGGAATACCTATTCCAGCAGATAATCGGTTACTGCACGAAGTGCGCGATTTATTCACACAGGCTTGAGCACCAACAAATACATCTAGCGCTGGTTCACACATTAGGAGAGACGCTTTAGGCAACGAAACTAAAAATACCGAGAGTTCAATGGCCACCCTACGGATTTGGTCTCCCCCCTCTGGAGCTCTTCGAAGAACTAGTACCACAAACACCATTTTCAATTGAGCAGTATTCGCAATATTGAAAAACTTTCAATACTTGAGGCTGCTGCAAAGGTGACGCAGCAAGGACATACAAATGATTCCAAGAAGCAGGAAGCAATCTTTACCGCATCTGTGGGATAGCGCTCACTTCACTCAAAAACCGTCAGTACGAGGATCCCCCGACAATCACAATGCAAATGTCACGCAAACTGCGAGTGCCATGCGAAAAGTGCGAGAAAACTCTCGATCGCTTAGGAATAACCGTCAGCGATTTACAGCCATAACGGCTTACGTTAAGAAACAGGGAAGTCGTCATACCGAACACATAAAATAGGACGTATACTAGATTACTTCCCTTCAAACATACGAGACGAATGGCTAAGAAAGAGTTTGATTCAGGAAAAGCTGGACCATCGGCAGGCTTATTAGATAAGCCTCCTGTTGTAGTTAAACGTACAGAAACATATTAGTATCAAAAATTCAAATTAACGACGAGCACCTAATATTCCATACCAGTGCAATGACTAATGTACCGCCACCGAGTTGCATAGGCGTGTCCGGGCAACACCACAAATTTCGGGATTTTGCAATCAATGTTACGTAAAAGCTAACAAAAATCGACCGTTTAAAGAACACCAAAGCTTGCTGGAAATGCTTCACCCGCAATCATACTCACACAGTTTTGCCGCAAGCGAATTGTATTGCTGTGAGGGGCACCAAACTCCATCTTATGCATTATAAACAGAGCGCGAGACGAGCAATACAGTGGAGCAGCGAATGACCCCGACAAGAACACCATAGTCCAATCAAAGAAGGACGAAGAAACGCATATTCCAGATAATGGCACTGTACGAAATAGAAGCGTATATCTCGCACCAACGGATTTCGGGCAGCAACTTCATTCGTACAGCGGCAGCCTATACGGTCCGAGGAGTTGCCAGAGTTTTCCGCGAACGGACGATTTATGTTCAAGATACGGATTCGAGATCACCAACCCAGCGAATGGCACAATAAATTCCAATTGAGCAGCCCAGATTCGCAAGATCAATTATCCAGGAGTCTGATGCCCAGCATTCGTGTCAGATCGTCAGCTCCTCTTCCCATTCCAGAGCCGAAATCGCCAAGGAGCGTCAGGAGTTAACGTTCCGAATTCCCAAAAGACAAATTACACGGAAGCTAATGACAAAAGTAAACACAAATCCATTCATTAATAACGGAGAAGTCTCGTTTCATCGATTGTATCCAGTCAATGTTGGCCCACGATAATATTGGACATGGAAATAAACCCAGTCTTATGCCTCTTAGAGCGTCCGCTTCCGATCAGTCGTTCATTCTGAATTCACTTGCAAAAACGACTGAAGACCTGGTTCCATTCAGAAAGAAAACCACTATAATATGGTGAACACATCTTTGGTGGACGAGGCTAGAAAGGAAGCGAGTGAAAGAGTCATTAGTAACCGTCTACTAACTCCAGTGTGAACTTACATCACAGTTCAGCTCCTTGACGCCAAGACCAATTACAGAAACACCTCCTCTTCATCTTGGTGATATATCGCCACAGGACAGAGCATTTATTCAAGACAACTTCTCAAGCAGTGAGGCCCGCTGCATTATTGATGCAGCAACAGGAACTATAACTCCTGAGATACTAATTGGCATGGACTATTTCAACTCGGTCATCAGCCTTCATCAATCTGTTATTCGCCTCCCGTCAGGACTATTTATGACACCGACGTTCTTTGGTCCGGTCATATCGGGAGTCACTACCCACGACAACGACAATACAGAACAAAGGTGTTTTTATGAGCATATAGTCCAAACGTGCACATCCACTCACCCATATGACAACGACTTTCATTTCGACATATCAGATTTATGGAAACTTCCTGGAATTGGGATAGAGGAATGCTGCACAGAAGAAGAGCTCAATCAACAAATAGTAGAAAACTTTTACTCAACAGTAGAGAATCGAAATGGCCAAATATATGTAAGATTTCCTTGGAAACCTAACAAAGATTGCTTGGCTAACAATTATAACTTAGCTCTGAGCAGACTCCACCAATTATTCAAAATGAAAGAACGAAATCCAGAATGCTGGAAAGACTATTGCAACATTATTGAAGAACAACTCAAGAAAAATTTCATAGAAGCTCCGTTCGGTATGAATACAGAGTCCATTCAAGACGACGTGAATGAAGACCCGCAAACCAATATCAGGAAAAAGCTAACCCAGATACAATGCCGAACTGTCGACATACCAGTTATCAAAACGAAAGTGGAAAGCACATATGTGAGTTCATGCTTTCCTTTACTTAACGGCCAATAGGGCCCAGTTTAGATGACCAAAAGAAGATGAAAATATGAATTCATTAGTTTCTATCATTAAGCCATCTTTTTAAGAAGCCTAAAGAAAATCTACAAAAAGATCAAAAGAGGAAGAGGAAATACACATCCCCTTCACATTCTGCTGAAATCACACAAGATAGAAGTAGAGTTAAGGTACAGGATAATACAACCTCAATTCCTAGTTCAATTTCAACCATCCCTTTTAGGGCACAGTTAACTCGACGGCTCAGAACGTTGTGGCCGTCAAGAATCTGGTCGAGGACATGACCGAAGATCTGGATCACGTGCAGAGCGCCCACTACAATTTGGAAGAACTAGTTAAAAAAATGGATGAGCGCATAATGAACCGCTTTGATCACATGATGGACTTTCAAATGGAGTTCGCGCAGAAGTTGGACTATCTGAAACAAGGTCACGATGATCTCGTTCGTCAGATAGACAACATTCGTCAACAACAGCCAGTACACGTAGGTCCTTCAGCCCAACAGCCGAGTAGTTCTAAAGCTAAAGCATGCCTTTTTGTACTGGACCACATAACGCTTGGAATTGTACTGAAGTAGTAAAACTTCGTGATAGAAGTAGGATTCTCAAGCAAACTGACAAATGTGAGCGTTGTCTTCAGGATGCGAATCATTTAGTGACTTCTTGTAGAAAGAAGAATCCCTGCTATTATTGTCTTACTGCTAAGAGAGAGACAGACATGGGTGATCACCACTCTGCCTTTTGCCCTTTTAAATTTCAGTTCTGAATTCATTTCCTTCTTCATGCTAATCTAATTCATCACGTTCATTCATTTGTTTCTTATAACAACCTGGTTTGAACCCCTTTTCTTGACGTGTGCAATTGGTTTTCTTCCTTTTGTGTGATTTCAATGAACATCTTCTTACTTTACTAATTCATTCTCTTACTCATTGCCTTTTCATCCCTTATACTACTGCCCAATACATTCACTTACCGTCACATTACTTGTATTTTGGATCCCATATTGCCATTACATCATAAAATCGGTCGTTTCTTATGATAACTCCGACATTCTATCTACTGTTTTCGTTTAACCACTCCTTTTATTTCTTGCAACTGCTGTTTTTTTTTTCGTTGTATTCATTGAAACGTACTGATTTGTATGACTTCCTTGAAGTTGTCAAGTTCGTAGCCCGAATAGCTCTGTTATCGCTGAGACAGCCCATACCAACTCATCGTTTTTTTTCTTGAAAAAGTCCAATACAGCACATACAACTAACTCAATTTCTCGTTGCGGGGAGGATGCGCAAATTCATGTCTAAGCCCCTAGCGCATGCACTTTTGCGCCTCGGGAGTGTCATGAACCTTCAGTTCATGATGTTTTTCATCGTTCTCGAGCTCTGTAGTCCGCCTACGACAGAAGGGCGGTACGACTTGGTCGGCTCTGAAGGCGGCGACAAGAAAAAGGGTCGCATGCTGTACAGTAACGGCGACAACCGCCTGCCTTGCTTGCTGATGTGGAGATTTCCCTAGAGCGTATCTGTCACTAGCGGGCCCGCACGAATCCAAATTGAAATCCATGTAGCTCAAGCAATAAAAGAGTCAAAGTTCAAATCAAATTCATTCCTCATATATCCTTCACTCGCATATATTCGCATATGTTACTCGCATATATTTTTTCGATTTGTACTCATTATCCCGCGGTCGATTGGTGCTATTTTGCTTGTTTGTATTATGGCTTTATATTTACCATTTATAAACTTCACAACTTTGCATTTGCTATTTACTCCATAAACTTGGTGTAACTGAACGTTGTACCCATAAAGAACCACCAAAGTACACTTGGAAGTGATGCAACCAAGTCACCACCTGTTACTGTCGTGCTGTCCTTAATCCATCGCGGCACACTTGCACACTTTCGTGTACGACGTACTCTTCGCAGCGCTGTGCCACCATCGCACCATGGACGACCTTACAAAGGGAATTTCAGGGCGCTTTTTGCTTTTCCTTCTCACTCATTTTCCTCAACGCACTTCCAGAACAAATTTCGAGTAAAATAATACACTAATTCAACCCGACTCGTACCTCCAAGGTAGAAGTGGTCAGTGCCGTGATAAAGAAGAATCATGAGGAATGGCCCAACCCGAGAATGGCAGTTTCTTGCCCGTTTCTGCATCGATGCATTTCTAATCAGTGCCCGCCCCTACTTAACGCTAACGCGTTCTCCCTGCTAAATGCAGATCAGCGGCGGCGGGTGGTTAGCCACTGGGTGGGTGTATCGCATCGCTAGCGCCGCCGGCGACCACGCTAGGTCGTAGGGGCATATTCTTTGCTGCAAATCGGGTGCAGCACCCTCAGACGTCGACACTCTTCCCACTAGATAGGTATTCCCTTTTTCGACCTTTTATCATGGAATCCTCCTTTAAGACCATCCTCTATGCTGACAACATCCTTATAGCGGATACAAAGAAGAGCTTCAGGGCAAGGTGCAGAAAGGATGGGATGGCCGGAGGTAGGTTCCCTCTGAGTTTCAAGAAGAGCAAGCTCCTGAGTTCTGGAGAGTGATCAACTCGAATCAAATAAGAGAGTCTAGTGAAATCCTCTGCGATTAAAGCTGCTCCACAACGCTCATAAAGCAGGTGTACTGCACAGTGGTATGACCTGCGCCTGCTGGCCCCCGACCAGAAATCAAGGAAAGATGTCTCGCTCCGCTGGAATGAGTTTGCAGAAAAGGACCCGCGGCTGAAGCGACTGTTCAGGTTCACACACTAAGATGTCACGACAATCGTGCAGACTGTGCCTGTCGAGCTGAAGTGTGGTAAGAGCATTTGCGACGTCATGGATACGCGCTAAGGATACTACAAGTCACCTGATAAGAAAAGCGATGCACATCGAAGCGCAAGGAGCGACGCATAGCAGAGCCAAAGAGATGAGAGCAATCATGAAGAACGACCTCGCTGAGGTTGGCTGCGACAGCCGATGTCTTGGACAGGGCCAAACAGCGGACCCCTTGAGGCTGAAATAACGCTGGCGTGAATTACAAGAGTGTTGTATAATACACTGCGACGCATAATTGTAGTTCCACCTAAAATTTCAGTACCCGGCTGGATATCATTTTCTCACGATACGGCGCTCATTTCAGTCGGATAGTAATCAGGGTTCCTCCCAGTCATATCCTGTAGCATCCTTGAGAAATTTGTTCCTTATGAAGTCACCCCGACAAATTCCAGCGGAGCTGACACTTTGACAATTCCTGAGTCTCTTTTGCTTGGATTTCCTTTTTTACGGAAGTGACGGCGGTTCTGCTTTTGCTATAAACTAGGGAACTTGAATGGATAATAATTCCAAACTTTAATTGGGTAAAAGCAAAATGCAGCGGGGAAGCTAAGGCGGATATATTCGAAAAAATAAGGATAAAAAATTGTTGCTTTCTCAAACTGGATTTCCGTGTTAATATTCAGATTTGCGTTAATATGTGTCACAATTTATCTGTGTAGCCTTTTCCAAAAACATCCCCAGATTCAAGTTTTTGAGAAATTTGTAGGTGGAACTTACTTATGCGTCGCAGTGTATGTGGTTCTGTTTATACAAAAAACCAATACCCGTCTTACATGGCAAGGGCCTGTGTCGTCAAGATGTTCAGAGAAGGAATAAATGGATGCAATGCCTCTCCAAAGACATGCAGAACTAGGCATTCCTACCACGTCATTAGGTCTTGAAAACTCTATAATTTTTTGATACGTTGACGCTTTATTCAATACCAAATTGGTCCCCCGCCAACCGCCGGGTCTCTCCTTCTCTGAGTAAGCTCTACGTCTTGCTGTGGTATCTTCCATTGGTACACCACCTCGTGCAACATAAGGAGTTTCATATAGTAGAGGGCATCACCATAATCATGATATGACAGTAAAATGACATATCAATACTTAATACCTAACCGCACCTTAACTCCGTTGGTGATTGGTTTTTTGCCTTCCCTCCCCATCCTCCCCTTCTTCCTCCAATACAAAACATTGATAGCTCAAGTCCTGCGAGCTACCAATTCCATTAGCAGTTTGTTTATTCCAATAGCTGCCTTATCACTCATTTCATTTTGCGGACGGGCACAGAGACATGCAGACATACCTGCAGACCGATACCTTAAATTAGCGATCTATAAATTAGAAGGGTTATTTCAAACAAACTGCCTTCATTCTATACATCGCTGTAAAGTGCGTTTCTCATTGGCATTTGACAATGTAATAAGTTTTGTGCTGTAACATTGCGCTTCTTGTTGTCCCTCTCATAATCTTAAATACTGCATGGCCAGAGGGCAGACTGGCACAGTTCCCCTTTTCTAACTCAAATTAGATCGTAAGTTCTAAAGCCAAAACTGCAATTTTTCACCAATTTATTAAATTGGACTCACGCCCCGCCCGCTGGAGGCGGAGTTTCTTATGGCCAATACATTCATTCTATAGAGCGGATTTTTCCCTATCTTTAGACTGTTCTGAAGCGAAATACTGCAATTTTTACCAAGTTTTTCATTTGGACGCACGCTCCGCCCACTGGAGGCGGAGTTTCCTACAATGAATTTATTCTCCATAGAGAGCGGCTCATACTCTACCCATTCCGAACATAACCCGCCCTCCCTAGGTGATTTTTGAAGGAAGAATTATGAAAATGTGGGGGACACTTGCGAATTTTTGGGGAGCGGTCAGACAAACAAACTCTGGTTTATATATTAGTATGATTTACTTAGAGGCCGTCGTCGGTTGTGATGTTTGTTCTGCACCCGACACTTTCTCGCTTTTTGAAGGGGAGGTCACACAGAACTATTGAAGAGCCTCCTTCGAAACGGTTCGCAACTGAGTTGTGGTTTTCAGCGGACTGGAAGAGTTGCAAAGTCAAAAAAATTCATAGGTATGTGCAGCGACAAGCGGCCATTCTGAGATGTCCGTCCTTTCTCGACCTTTGTTATGAAAACGATCTTAGTTTTACTGGTGTTGCACGCTATTCGAATGAATCCTTTTAACAAGCATTCGAAGCTGCGCTAATCTTCGACAGCGACCTAGCTTCCCGGGCTCTCCAAGCTAAAACTGGTGAGGGAAGTTTATAGTGGTTAAGTTTTCATTTTCCTTTGTTCGACATAAGCTGCTGCGAGGAAGATCTGTGTCGCCAAAACTGAAGGAGCTGTTGTCTCTCAAAGCAGCACTTTTTTAAGGTTCGCCGATCTGAATCACCTGGAATTGAAGATGCAGGCCGAAACTCCTTTGTTTTGAGAACGAAGGAAACGCTATATCGACTAGATCTGGAAGTTTCTGGTCGACCTCAAAAAGCCTCAGAAAATGCCGCTCTCTGTTCCGGAGGACATTTATTGTTGCTTTTTGTACGAATTTGTGTATAAGACTTGAGTTCTCAGTTGCTGCGAAGGAAGTTTCTCCTCGATCTCATAATGACTCGAAACTTGGTCACATTTCTGCTAATAAAGGCTATAAATTGGATAGAAGCTGAATGATCTAAGAACGCGGTCACTTTTCATGATGGTAACGGTTTTAAAAAGGATATCACCCGAAGCGCATCTTGTGCCCACTCAATTCTCTTCAGAATTGACTTCTGTACTACGAAACGCAAAATTCGACATACAGTCCATATCTCGAAGTCAGATTGGGCGTGTCACCGGAAATGACGTGGCGGCTTCGCACTTGATAGAAGTTGCGCCGATGAGCTGCCTCCAGCATGCTCTGCTGACTTCTAGCGAAACATGTTAGAAACAGTTTGTCCACACAACTTCTATCAAATGCGGTGGCTACCACGTCACTTCCGGTGACACACCCAATCAGACTTCGAGATATCGACTGTATGTACATGTATGCGTCCAGAAACACTCTTGAAAAGCCCTTATCTCGCGCTCTCTAATAAGCCTCGAAAACTGGAAGAAGTTGGTTACGAGTGAAGGTATGAAGGTGATTTCAGTTCGGGGAGGGGGAGGGGGAGTGATGGGAAGAGGGCACTCCCTGTTATCTTATCCACTAGAGAGCATTCCTTCGGATTTCAACCTTTTGATAAGATAATAGGTAGACGACCAATTCAAGTGCACGTTTGATATGGACAGGTGTATGTATCGCGCACATCCTGCTCACATCCCAGGCAATTTATGGCACGTGATCGTCCACCCTGTGCTCCTACACCCTTGCGCTTAGAAAAGGATGTCCATGCCCTCGTTAAGGACCATTTCCTTGGACCACAGCAGGTCAAAATCTGAAAGCACCTTAAGAACACTTCCACACTATGCCGGTCCCTAGTATCAGTTCATTATATAAACCAGAAGTTTGGTGTGTCGGTTTGTCGGTATTTGTGTGTGCGTGTGTCGTTCTGTCCGTCCGGACCAACCGCTCACAGAACCAGGTAGTACGAAGGACAACACTCCGTGATGTTGATGTTATGATCATGATAACACCCACAGCGGCTATATGAATACCGATCGAGCGCACTCAAGATCAGTCTCATTCTATATGGTGCTGCCGTGGCAGCCGGATGAGCTGGAGGGGGGAGGTGGAGGGGATAGAGGGAAGTGAGGTGGAGGGAAGGGGGCAAGAAAGGGGAGGCTGGAAGCGAGGGGAGGGGGAGAGAAAGAGGGAGGGAAGGGGGAGAGGTGTGAGTGAAGGAACACATGGCGCTGTCATGCGCCGGAAAGGAGGGTATAAGGAGGGGGAGGTGCAGAAGGAGAGACTGAGAGAGAACGACTGCTTTATAAGGAATGCCTATATTCATGTTGGCGTATTATTTTAACTTGATGTGGTGATTGTGATAACACCCACAACGGCTACAAAAACACTGAACGAGCACACTCAGCCTCATTCTACATGGTGCTGCAGGGGCAGCCGGAGTTGGCGGGCGGTAGAGGGGAGGTGAAATCAGAAGGGGAGGGGGGAGAGAGAAAGAGGGAGGGAAGGCGGAGAGGAGAAAGGAAGGGAGAATGTGGCGCTGCCATGCGCCGGAGAGAAGGGGTATAAGAGGATATGACATATTTGTAGTGAGGTGGTTAGTGGAGGACATCATGCTGCTACCCTGTGATGCGCGCGATAGCGGGCGGAGCGAGCCTGGTTTTTAAATGAATCGGTTACGTCTCATGAAATACCCTTATCCTTATCCGTAGTATTGTAGAGCACAATACAGTGCCCTTCCCCCTCCCCCGGCCCCTCCCCGCCCGCCATACCCACCTCAAACTGGAGTTTCACTGTTACGAACACTTGAATGTTGAAAACTTGCATGCACACACAAAAAGAGAAAAAGGGGGTGATTAAACATTCGCAGCATTTTTATATATTTTGGAAAGATAACGACTAAATTTTTCAATTGTTTCTATTCCGTCTCACAACACAGTCGAATAAGGACATAATTTCTTGAAGGCAAACCCCGGGATTAGCCCGACTAGTAGGAAGGATACCGCGAGGGAAATTGTAAGACCCGTAGCTACCTAGATCACTTCAACTTGGACGCGAAAATCGCACGGTTAGGGCGCTAATCCTTACGAGCCTCCAACCATCGAACGCTTCCCACCCACCGCAAGATGTGGTGATATCAGCGTGCATTGATGTAGAGGTCAGCGTGCTCTCTCAAACGACGTTCTCTCTGTGTGTTTTGACCTCTCTGATCGCCCTGTCTTGCCCTCGTACCACATCCGACCTTTTTGAAGGTTAACACCCTAAGTTCAGCGTTCCCAAAGAGTTCTCTCGCTTCCTTCTCCACTTTGGGGTCGCTCCGCAGCTAAGCTATCACTGCGAAGCGCTCTTAGCACCAGCTTAATTCCGGAGTTTGCCTTTAACTGGAGAGATTAGAAACAACGTAAAGGAATGGTTTTCAATTCACAAATAGCTTACACTTGGAAATTCAAAAAAAATCTTGACGGGTTTCTCTCTTTGCTTACAAACATATCAAAGTGCGCAAAATGTTAAAACCTAATTCTATTCATTGAGTAAAATTCCATGTTGCCTTTATTGGCGCCCTCTGAGCGAGACAAGGCGCGCGAGTAACTTCGCATCACGTCGATGGCGATAGTAAGCATAAGGATATATAGAAAAAACATAAATAGACTATAGAAAAGAAAAGGTCGCAAAAATTTTGGATGGCACAACGGATGGTTGACCCTCGGTGTAGGACGGCGCCTTGCCCAGAAAGCTTCTAGTTTGGCACAGCTTAAGTCAGGAGCGGACCCTCTGACTTCACCTCTGTCACTCTAAGTACCGGTGTGCTTAGGTGTCACCTAACTCTTGACACACGTCGCGTAGCCTCACTATGAACCTGCTAGAGATATTTGGAAAAAAAATTCGCAGCATGGCCGACTCATCTTAGAATGTAGTTTGATAGCGCAGCGCCATAACTAAGTAAGAAAGGGATAGGGAGAGGTTTCAAGGCCAGCATCTAAAGGAATCCTTCACGGAAAAATCATGATTCTATTTCAGCCATGAATCCCTAGCTTGAGACTCATCATCCATGATAAGAATGAAGAGAACAGAAAAATTGCACTCGTTTTCGTAAAAAAAATCGAAAAACTGGAAGCGCTGCTAGGCGTTCAAAGTACCGCCGCACATCTGTCACAAATGCTGGCGACGGGAATGCTTCCACACGGTTGTTGGAGTGCCTTCACTAGGAACTCTTTCCGGCCTTTCGACTTATTGCATTCACATCTCACACTTCTACTCCATCCGGTTCTACCGATCGTTTGTTTCTCCTCTCCAAAATTGCATGCATAAACCCGATTTTTTCGCTGCTTCGCCTCATACGTAGCCACCTTTGAAGCACGTACTTTTTTCCATGCCCCGCCTTTGGCTCCGCGCCATTTATCTTCGATTGTCCATAGTGCAGTTTTGTGAGTTCGCTTCTTCGGAAACCAATCTTCATACGTGAAACTTTGTGTACTGTCTGCAGTGATCACAACTGATACATTCATGTTGAGAAAGAACGCAAGAATTTTACGCGAAGGATTCGTTAAAGAGGGTATAGAAGTACACACTCTGTCAAAGGTTCTTCGAGTATAGGTAGTGAAACTTGGTCATGCCACCTCAAATCTCTTTCTTTAAGCGACCAGCGACTATTTCGCTGCTTGGGCATACAATGTTCTAGTCGCGCACATTAGGTAGACGCGCAACTATGCTGTTTCAAATGGCATGCTTTTATAATATTACCAACCAAGTCAAGAGATGGGCTGTTCTGCTCAAGGTATGCTTGGCGCTTATAGTGTGAACGCACTCATAGTCAGATCCCAGCTGCCATCATAGCTGCCACTTTTATAATCAAAAGTCTCTAATCAAATGTCAAATCTGTGAAAAGCTGTATTAACCGGAGCTAGCGTGACTCACAGCGAGACCCCGAAACGCGACAGTACCTTACGACAAGTTCTGCATCGAAACTAAGGCAATAGAATGAGAGAAAAGGCACTGTAACCCCAAGTTGAATCGCTGCATGTAGCAGCGGTCGAAAGCAATCACCGAAATGCTTTTTAGCACATTGAAATTCTCTCTTACCCATTCCGCTTTGCATTTTTAAATGTTTCGTCATTCGATATTTTCAAATTCTAAACGGAACAGCGTACAAAGGAAACTCTCCATTTGAGCGCTAGGCCTTTTGCCGCATGTTTAATTGGAGGCAGGGCCAATTTCTCTTCAAACTATTCGAACGGAGCTGGAAATTGAAGGGATCGTGGTCGCAGGAGAGGGGCTCATTGTGACGTGTTTCCTTGACAACTTTGAATTTGAAATTGCCACGAAAGAAGCGTGAAATGGAGAGAATTAGCGGGCTTCCTGTTTCCTGAGACATATACCCCCTGCTTCCCCGCTTGATGGAGGAAAAAGTGAGAAGAGTTCTGTGTCTGCAGAGTTGAAGGCGTGTACCAGGATGAAATCACGCACGAATGCTAAGGTTTTGGTGCCAAATGGGCCGGCAGTAAAGAAAAAAGGAAGAGAATATGGTAAAAACGCTAAGGGTGAGGGCTTCACCTTCGTAATCTGCTGTGCTAAGGCGATGAGAGACTAAAAGCAGTAAGGAGAGTGTGAAGCAAGAGCGCAGCAGCTGAGAGGACGTCGGACAACAGCTCGATAAAGGAAAAGTTGCAGCCGGAGCAGCTCACTTTATAACAACCCTTGTCGAGCGAATTTCATGAGAGGGAGTGCCTCATCTGTAATTGTTCTTTAGAGGTCCACTCTACAGACCGAAGGGAAACGTTCACACAGCCTCTGCCTGGGTTGTGCCTTTGATTACTTTGAACCGCCATAATGGTAGCGACTGGAAGAGGGGTAGGCCATATTAGGGAGCGCG